AATTACAGGTAACAAGTAGATGACTGGCTAGCCATTAAAATAAACATCGAAGAAATGAATACCTTAGTGAATAACCGAAGTATATTAGGCGTAATAAGTTCACTGTACACGATACCATCCGCAAAATTTAAATATAATTCCGATCTCTGTAACCTCTCGATTGTTTCCATTTTGTGAAATAGTACTAGTTATTTCATTCAGAATATTTTAAATAATTCTAAATTCCTTGCTTTAGTTTTTAGTGGTATTTTGCCTTAATTAGGCAATATTCGACTTGGGAAATGTAGGTAATCGGTGCTTAAAATCTACAAAAGTCATAAAGAAAAAGAGAGATTCTGTAGTTTTAAGTAGTGATGTGCACAATACTGATTTAATCTGAAACCTAAGCGAAGGAAAAACTGAGAAACAGATGATAAGATTACACTGAGTACGAAATGGGTCTGGAACAGTTAACTTAATAGCTGTAGCCATAGAGACAAAATTTTCTTGATAATTTGTTTGATTACGAATTCATAAAATTCATCCATTTATTGGATTAGTTCACTTATCCAGGTTAGATTGCGTCAAAAAAGGGAAAGAAGATGGGAAGGCAAACACTAGTGTTTACAGAAAACCCATATATTCAAACCAATATTTGCATTTCAGTTCACACCACAGTTATAGGTTGAAAAAAAAACTTATGTAGCAAAGAAAACCTAAGGCAGGAAGTAAAACATAAACGCAGCTTTGAAACTTAATAATTAACCTGATAAATTGATCAGGAAGTATGTGGGAAATTGTAAAACTAATAATGACAGTAGTAATAAAAAGGAGGACGATCATGACAAAAATTCACAAAAATGATGACACCAACAATAGGGAATTTCAGACACCAGTAGTGCTTCTAAATAAGGAGGGAACCTCTGCAACCTTACGTAGAATTCTTAACTATGCCAGAATAAAAGTGACATTCAGACTCACAAACTCACTTAGAATCAAATTATGTGGGTAAAAGGATCCTTTGGAGCCCATTGAACCATATAGATAATTTACCTTATCTAATCCCCTGCAATGACACTCAGGTCATATACGTAGGTCAAAGTAGTAGGACAAGGTCAGATTATCGGGGTATAAAAATTTAGCTAGGCCCAGAATGATTGATCTTACTAAGTTAAATTACACAGAAGAAAACTCAGGCATTGCATTCACTTGCATGTAGTCACACAATAGGTTGGGTGGGACAGGGTGAGAGTATTAAAAAGTAATATAGTTAGGTGAAGAGAGAGGTTAGTCACTGAATCTTTGTTTATTGATTCAACACCAGATACGTAGAATCGAAGTGGCGCAACGCCTATACCGGAAGTATGGAAAGTGGCGACAAAAAGCAAAAAGTTGGAGAGAAAGAAAGAGAGAAAAAAGGCATATTACGAAACTGTGTGACTAAATTGATGTGATTATGAGCAATAATTTGTGCTCGAAACCTTGTCATCCAGCTGTTAATACTACATCGCTGAGTGATATTTGAAATAAACTTATCTAATACAGATTCGAAGTTGTATAGTTATATTAATATGAACAATAAATTGTGTTCGACACTTCAGTCAGTATAAAATACTGTATGATATATCCTATAGCAAAAGGACTGAGAGAAGAAATATTTACCTTTCAATTAGTTTCTCATCTATGACTGTAATCTTATATATATATATATATATATATATATATATAAGATTAAATGTCTAAATAGCAATTTTTCCATATATACAATGAACAAATTAGTATGGAATTACATACTACCACAGTGCCCAAGTTTTGTACAAATATCAACTTTTTTTACTATAGTCTAAGCTGAAAACAGTGAGTGAATCGCATGAACGTTTATTGCCATTAAACAAAAAGTGCTTTCAGTTAAATTAATCCCACATTGTACTGTGATGATGAGTAATAAATTATTTCCGAAATGTCATTTCTATCTTAGCTAATGCTAAATCAGTGTGCGTACTTTATCACAGGAAAACCCACTTGAAATAGGAATACACTTCTTCAGACACACCATATTCTTTCGCCATAACAAAAGCTGACTGTTGGTAATTTCAGACGCACAAATGATCATTTATTCGTGAGAAAAGTATATAGTTTTCTTAGTGCCATAACTTTTAGTTGTGTTGTTTTTATAAATCAACTGACACTTTGACGTCAAAGCGCTGTTCATAATACACATCATTTATAAAACCAGAACTAACTTATTTAAATATCTGAGTTTTTAGCATAAGAAATTCACACCCTTCTCTCATACATCAATTGCTAAACATCTATTTCCCAGATTATTATCCATACAGGATACGAGTGATTAATTATTAACCAAAATCGTGATCAGAGACTACAACCAGTGTTGTAAGTGACCTCTGGTTAACACCATCATTGTGTACTTATTTCTAAAAAAATTAAGAGTCTAACCCTACGTGCAATCAATCTTGCAAAGTACACCCTACAAATATTCTTCAGACTCGTTTATGACACCATTTTCTCGTCTCCTTTACTTAAATAACGACTGACATTTGTGATACTGTGTTTGTGATATTTTCTTCACTTTTAATTTCAATCAAAACATGCCTCGTATTTATAGTGAGAAGGGTTTTCGAAACAAATTTCTCCATTGAATAAGGCGGATTATTAAATTGTTTCTGTTAAGGTGTATATGACAGACATGGGGAGAGAGAGAAAGAGGGGGTCACCCACTTTCCACTTAAACGAAAAAAACATCAAGATAAGTAGATTATTGCATACCAAACTGTAAATTCATCACTATAAAAAAGTCAAGAGACAAGCTGTGTGAATTTATCATCTGTTCACTTAAAAACAGCAGAAGTGTTTAAAATCATGTTTTGGTTTGACCACCACGAGCTCTTTTCCAACCTGATCCTATGTCAGTCAGCGAACATTTCCCATTGAAGACGGCGATGGATGGATGGGAATGCAAGTGTAACACATGTCCTGACCATCACAATCAGTGTAACTTCACAACCTCGTTGGTTGATTTCCCCTCCCTCCTTACCTAGCACTCGACCAAGGCCTAACGTCAATACTGCTCACCTTATACTGCCACTTAACATGAGAGATCGAACGCAGGCACCTATGATCAAAGACAACTGGCCTTTTCATGTCTTCTACTTTCAATGGCCATGTCTCATTCACAGCCAGCCATAAAGGAGCACAGAGCGAACTGCTGAGCGGTACACACGTCCTTTGCTCGATAGCTAGCTGGATATCACATCCACGTCAGAGATGGAGTAAGTTGGAGTATACGAAACGAGCTTTCTGTATCCGTGGTGAGATTTCGTCAGCAATCGACCCGTTGGGCTGATACAACTAGGAGTCGATGTATTCCAGTCCAGTAGTGTAGCATCATCTTACATTTGACGGGAGCAAATAGCATGCCAAACATTCGAAGATTGCTGCTCAAGATGTTCAGAAAACTGTACATTCTGTCAAAGTCGTCACCTAGGAGAACAACATCATCTGCATACTCTCAGTCAACGAGACTACACTCTGTTTGGTAGCAGTTCAATCCCTCAGTCGCTGAAGTCATCTAGGGTTAAGTCCATTAGTACATATATGCTAAACAGTGTGATTCATTTCCGTTTCAGCAGTCAGTACTAACTTCCTTAAAAAAAAACAGTCTTAGTATTCAATATCTTTGGAAGATGGAATCTCATACATCTTGACTTTTCTACATTTCCAGGTATATGCATACTCATTACACAATAACACACGTGAAAAAGAGATAAATAGTATTCTACGTTTGTGCGCAATTATATTCCAAAATTTAAAATGAAGACAGATCAAGGGAAAGGCGCCAATCATGAACGCATATGTAAATACGTTCATCAGAATAAATAGAATAATAATAATGATAATAATATTATCAGTAATACAGTCAAATTAGAAATGTAATCAAATCAAAAATAGGAAAAGAAAAAGACTCTGCTCATTTGTTTCCATAGGACTGAGAAAATTATACATCATGAATATTATTTTTTTTAAAGAATATTACAACACTTTTAGGGTAAACAAAATATAGAAACATTATTCATTCACACGAACATTTCAATTTCAAAGTGTTCTGTTCTATTTTAACAGGAATACCTGATAGTTTTTGAGAATATTACACGAATACCAATAATATTTACATACAATATATATGTATATATATATATTCCTGATAATATGTACATACGAAAATTAGGAAAATTACGAAAAGGGAGAAAAACAACTGAAACAGAAAGAAACGAAAGGTAGATCAACAATGAAATGTGAATTGAACTAAGCCAACACAATTTAGTTCAAAAGTCGAAGAATGAAACGACTCTGTTTAACTCTGAATCCCTCTTCTTTTTCCTGTCTCCTCTTTCACATCGAAACAGATAATCTGCTGATAGTAATCACTGTTTTGTTCACATGACTCACTGTAGCCTTTGAACAGAAACAAGATTCGAAATGCAAAAGCCTTTTCTTAGTTTTATTGTTTATCTGTTGTTCATTCAGTCTCAAGGTGATCGTTAATAGACATTATAAGTGTATAGGAAATTGAATGTTGTTTTTAATGAAGTAACTCAAAAAAATACTTTCACAACGCAATTCAATGAAATGGAACTTCATAAAATAATTAATTTTATTTCTAGCAGGCCAACTGGAATACATCACTTTGAAACGTTTTATCGAATAAATTAAAAGCTCCAGTGATATAGACAAGAAATAGAAATAAAATTTTTTTTTTAAAAAAAAAGTGTGAAATTGTCATAAAAAGACCACTATGGACATATGCTATACATACACGTACGAAAACAGAGACATCTGTCTGGCTGGGATAAAGTTAAACGATTATTCTTCTCTCCTGGATACACTCACTTCACTTCATCATAAGTGAATGTGATTCAGTTGTACTGAATCACTGAAAGACATGCTAAACTTTATGTACTGTATGACATATATATGTATATATGCATAAATGTTGACCTATGCTAAACGGGTGTTGCGGGCGTTTCAGCAGTTGGCGTTAATTTTGAAGAATGTTCAATTGGTGGTGAGACATTTTTATTATTCATATTAATAATATTAATACCATTGCTATTATTGTCAACATTATTATTGATGTTAATGTTGTTTCTCTGTATACCGTCGTTTGTTCGAAGTAGTAGTAAACGACAATACTGACCCAGTAATGGACTATCACTAGGCGGATATGGTGTCAATAGGTAGTCAGGAATACTATTGAAAATGTTTGCTTGAGGTAAATATGCCGAAGAGTTATGAGACTCATACAATTTATTTGTTCTTGTGGTTGTTATGGTTGGTGTTGTTGTTGTTGTTGCTACAAAACTAGTTGCCTTAGGGGTAACATTTTTGAAAGATAAGCCTAATGAAAGACTAGATGGCCGTGTTGGTATTTGCTGACTAGGTTGTTGTTGGTGTTGTCTTTGTTGTGATGATGATGACGATGAGGAATAATGAACAGTGTCAGTGTTTATTGTTGAATTTAAATGTGTTAATGACGGTAGATGAAATGAATTATTAGCACTGTGTGAATAATCTGTATGAACACTTAATGGTCTTGAATGTCTGATTCGTGATTCACTGACACCTTTATTTCGTGTATAATACAAAGAAGATAAACCATCGGTTCTTAATCCACTAGAACCCGAAGAATCACTCTGTTCATACATTGATTGGATCATTAGATTGGGAATGTTGTAGGCGACTTTATTACCATTACTGTTATTATTATTATTATTATTATTACTATTGTTAATTTGATTAGAACAGTTATACGGGAATGAAGTAGGCAGTGAACTGTTTGAAAGTCGAGCTGTTGGTGAACTTCTAGAGAGGATTAAACTGTTCCGTTGTCTTAATCGATCAGCTAAATTACTTGGTAAATTTGATGGTTTGTAGGGCAATAGATGAGACCACCAGACTGTATCATTCTCTGAATTCAAATCACTGACTTCTTTATCAGTTAGTTTATCGGCTGCAATGCTCATATTATCCAAGGGTTTAATATATGAATATCTGTTCTGATTGGATGTTCCATAAAGTGAAGTAGATAAAATCTGGAACAAAAATAAATCAAAACTACCTCAGTTACATAATGTATGGTAAACTTTTTAGAAAAATTACATCTATTCTATCAAATACTGGACAGTCGTTTCGTCCTAGTTTGGGACTCAGCGGCAGTGTGCACCCACCAGGTGCTCGTTAGTGACTAGCTGCAGGACGAAGTTTCCTGGAGTTTGAGTGAGAAGTTGCGACCAGTGGGTGCCATCCTGTTAGAAGTGAGGACAAATACTCACTGATGACTTTGACTTGTGGTAGCGCACGAATTGGTCGAAGTTAGAATTCATGGGCCAGTGAGTCGGGTCCCAGTGGCTTAATGATCTACGAGCTTGACCTGTAACCGTAAGGTCTCGGGCTCGAAACCCAGTGAGTTCGTACTGGCAGTGAGTCCCAAACTAGGACGGAACAGCTGTCCAATACTCCCTGGTTTCCAATAGTTCTCTGACTGATATCAGTCCATGGCCAAACTTGGAATACTTCGTTTTTACTGGATGATATATTTAATCTACATCCAAATGTCTGTTATTGGAAAATCGATCTGACCAGCAGACTTCTACAAATTCTTCTGCAATTTGTACATTTCACCAGTTCACAGTTCCCCAGATGAAATGATATAAATGAAGATATATCATGATCTATAACTGCCAGTAAATGTTCATGGATTTGAAGATGACTCAGTTGTCCATTTTGGCCAAAATGTATCTCTCACAATTGATCCCATCTATCTTGTAGGTAATGTTGGTTTGTGATCAACATCTAGTGCATAAAGTTTCAGTATTCTAACAGTAATTCCATAAAGAGGAGGATGATATCTCTTGACCTTTCATTAAATAATTTTAGCTGGTTGATTTAGTTGTTGGCAGGCATCTTTTGATGAAGTTTTGTGGATATCCATATTTCTGGATATTCTCACTAAGGCATGAGTTTTGCAATGTGTCCTTTTGCTTTCAAATAATATTCCTGCATAATTTCTTTTGTGTGCAGTTGGTTCATTGTTATTGTTGTTCTTACAACTGAGCATTTGATCTGTATGTTTCGATCTTCTGTATAATTCAGTTTTTAGTTTTTTTGATTTACAGCTTGATTCCACACCGTATTTTCAGTACAAGTGTGGAATTTTCAGCATGGATATCGGTAGCCCAAATTTTGCAGGCCGACCATAGATATCGGGTGTGTATTGGCAGGGGATCGAACTCCAGACTATGTGCATGGTCGGCGAGAGTCCTAACCACTGTGCCACCGACTCTTGTGATCGCTTGCCTAATGAAGTCATCTAAAAAGTAGAATTTCGTTCCCTAATTCCTCTTCTCTTGTAAATTTTGTGTCGTCAGAAATGATGTTGATTAGGTCATTATTCATTTGCAAAAGTGAACTGATTATCGTCTTTCGTAAAAATGCTTCGACAATATCTGTTGTGATACCATGGGGAGCAAAACGTGTGTCTTAGATTCCCATTCCCAGTCCCAGCCTTTTCTTCTGTTTCATGTAAACAAAGCATTCATTGTGTGTTAGCTGGCCTATGTTATGTATAGTTTCCCTCTTTATGTGCGCCTATAAGACTGGTCAGTTGACACATACAGATAGCACTTATAAAGTTGTGGCTAACGAAGAAAACGGAAGAAAACTACACTAGGCCACGTCAGTGTAATCTAAAGGAAAAGAAAGATTGGAAAAGTAAATAACTTATTTTGCAAATTAATCTTCCATTGAAAAGGGACGCTATGTAAAGTAAATTGGAATTATGTTTATTTAACCTTTCGGTGGGCAGGTTAGTTGTATCACACAGTATAAAACAGTATTATTTACTGGAGGACGCAGTTTCGAACAAAATTTATTGTTTATAATCATATCAATTATAATCACACGACTTCAAAACTTGAGTTTTATAGTTTTCTTTGTCTTCTCCTATTTGTCATCGTCGGGGTAGTAGAATTTTCCAGATATCTGGGACAGGTTTTTTCTCTGTTTATTAATAGTGAAATTAATAGTGAAGAAAATTAACAATACAAGTTTGAATTGAAACAAAAATGTAATGAAACTATGCAAAACAATGTTCATTAACTGTGAACTCACTTGACTGTTTGGTTCTTGCTTAGAGCTTGTTGGATTACGATTAGGGCTACTGTGCGAAGAGTATGATGCATCTGAACTGATAATGCTGTTAGATCTGACTGGCTGATTATCTCTGACTAGTGAAGTTGTTCTTTGTGGTGGGCGTGGAGGACGAAGAACTGCAGCTGAGCACTGAACGGACTGATAGTGTGGATGAATTCTGGCACTTTCCCTACGACGAGAATTACGAAGTGATGGATATGCATTGTTTGAATTACAGTAATCCTTGTTGTCATCAGATTTACTGAAAATATCATGTCTAACACTTTCATATCCTAGAACACTATGCGCTTTAGACAATCTTGCGCAATGTAGTTCAGGCAAATTGCATAGTAACTCAGGGCATGCCTTCGATACTGTCTTTTGTTCATTATGGTTTTGTGTGCAAAAAGTATTTGTTGACAGTTCATTAGCAAACCTTTAAAACAAAGGAAAACATAAATATACATTGTATATTCATTACATCCAACAAGAAGGTATATATCTTTCAGCTTTTAGGTGTATCGAAAACTAACCATCAGCAACTCTTCTTGAAACGAAGATTTATAGCTCAAGAGGATCATTTATACAAAATCTTCTCAGTAAAAAATGAAATGATTAATACCAGAAAATGTACGTGGCGGAAACCTTATTATTTTTTTCAAATGCTTGTTCGAGTAATCTAATAATCAATAAAGCCGATCAGTGACAAAATCCACCAAGAGAATGTATTACACGTTAATTATGACACCCACAAAATCTGAAGTCGGTAAGCGAAAAGAAAAGACACAGTGCTTGACTCAAGGCTTCCTGCCGATTGCCTCCAACCATATATTACTAACAATTCACAGTGCACCGTAATGGCGAGCCACCTATTATGGTGGCCACATTGCAAGCTTGACTTATAGAATTCAGTCTGCAGCGAAGATAGGACTAGACGCATTACACTAGTTACTGACTAGTGTGCAATCAAAAATATTCAATACAGTCCTACAGGAGGTCAATCGCGAGCCTGAATAGCTCAGTGGTAACGTCTTTGACTGCAGCACTGGGTGACGCGGGTTCGAATCTCAGAAGGGACATGAATTCCTTCAAAATTGCAGATACGCCTTACTGATGAGTGCCAACTAGCACGAAACCTAGGTCCAAGGCTTCCTGCCGATTGCCTCCAACTATCTATTATCAAGGGAATGTGTTTATTGTTTTTCATGAAATGCAACCGAAATACAATAAATCTACTGAAAATTTACAGATCCTAAAACTTAATGAAGTGAGTACCTAAATGAACTTATATGTGCGAAAAATCCCCAGAAAGCTGATTCCAACCGAATAAAGATATTTGACACAATCAGTTTTGTGAGGAATTCAAGTGTTGGCTGCCTTTAATGTAATCAGATAAGGTGTTGACAAAATAAGTGTGAAAGTGTCATTGCAAAGTCATGTCAATGAATGAAATATAATGTGAAATAACAGTGATCATAAATTATTTATTCAAATGCCTTGTCATGACTTGTCAGGTGACTGAAAACAACAATTGGTAAAAACCCCTTATTTCGGTTAAAACGTCCATCAACAAAGTAATCTTAGTGAAAATGGAAGTAGCTTAAGTGTTGAAAAAGATTCATGAGGTGAAGATTTTATTAGATATGCTAAAAAGATTTTCGCAAATACAATGATGGGGAAGTATGAAAGTGATTTACTAATAACCTTACCAATAAATAGTTTCCTTATAATGTAAAAAATGCTTTGAAGAGCTTATCAGTTTATGCTATTCAGCGAATTACTGTAAGACTGATAATGAAAAGGCCTTCAATAGCGTTGATTGCGAAGTAATTTGGAAACTGCTTCAACACTACGGTGTACCCCAAATCTTTATCAGTCACATTCAACAGCGGTATGACAGTGCCACATGTCAAGTGAACAACAACAGACAATTCAGTGAAGCCTTTGAAGTGAAGACAGGAGTAAGACTAGTCTGCCGAATATCACCAATGATGTTCCTAACTGTGGTGAATTAGATTGTGCGAAAGACTGTGCAAGAGGAGCTAAAAGACAGGAATACATTGGACCGATAAGAAGACCCCAGAAGATCTGGATTTTGCTGAGGATTTACGTCTAGTGTCAGACAAGCTCAAAAATCTACAGGCGAAAAAAAACAAGTTGGTAGAGGAGAGTGAGGTGAACATACAGAAGACGGAGGCGATGAAGATAACGAACCAACAGCAACACCAACCAGCACCAATCACCATCAGCGGGAGAGATCTGACAGAGGTTACTTTCTTCACTTACCTAGGAAACATCGTTTCAACCACAGGATATCAAAACCAGAATCGGGAAGGTGAATGGAGCTCGATTGGTAAACGACGAGTTGAGGGTGAGGCCGAAGTTGATGTGGAGGAAATCATGTAAGGGGGAGATGAGAGCCCATGGGCGATCTTGGTACCAGGTAAAATGGACTGCAGAGAATAGGATGAAGTGGAGATGGACTGCTGAAGCCCTATGTTCTACTCGGAATCCAAGGGATTAATGATAAACAGTAATACGATATCATATATGTCCAAACCAAGTTCACTTTTAACAGTTTGAAAAAATTTGGGCATTGGATATATGATATATATATATGCTGAGATTTTGTAAATTCCGGTTTAATAATACTTTGATAAAGCTATTAGCATTAAATAGTGAAACGTCAGTAAAAACAATATCGTTTTGTTTTTCATTCATTGGGAAATACAAAAGGCTTTATTATAATGAGTAGTACGATATATAATGATCGTTAGGTTTTATCTACTGCTTGGATTCTGTCAGTCATGCTTACAGTGTCACCATTTAACTGAGAACGCCATCTAGCGACTAATTTTATGGATGCAGTTCAATTCTACAGTGAAGTCAACCGTGATTTCAACAGCATACTGATCCCGTAGGTTAGTATTCATAAGATTGTAAGAATGGATTAAGGATCAGTTCCAGCTAACATGAATAAATACTAAGATCAGAACATTTTTAACCATTAAACCTTCTGATAAAGCCAAAATAACTAAGTAGAACAATCAAAAGTTCAGTATAAATTATTTAATGTTCCATAGGTGTTGGATGAGATGATATGTCGTGTGATAACAGCGAAAATATTTCATAGATGTTAGTTAATTCATCGGAATTAATATCTCCTTATAAATTTGATTGATTGTGAATTTCCTGCAGTTAATTAAGCATGCAAAATTATGCTTGAATAATTCTGCTTTCCTTGTGTAAATGATGAATAGAAAAGTGGTGTTGTTGTTAATCTAATTTGCAATTAATCCGTATAATTTATGTAGTGATATCGCACAGCTGAGAAGACTAAAGTATTCATTTCCCCAGAGATACTAATAGGATTGACGACTATTCAAAAATATGAGCTTAGACTATGTTAGTAAAAACTTGAAAGAAAAAGCTCATTTACACTTCCATAACTTTCCACATAAACAAGGAAATAATTTACGAACATCTTTGATTTTAAAAATAATCTCCAAGGTCTCCTCTATATTGGTAAATGTTGACACACTTTCGTCAGAACTCGCAATCTGATACATAAAATAATTAGCGTCAAAGAAAGAAAACTGAACTGAATTCTCAACATGGAACTTTGTAAAAAAATTGACAACTCTGGTGTCTCCTCATTTGTGGTTACATCTATCTCCTTTTACTGAAGATTTCTATAGGGAGGTACGACAAAATGAGTCTTATCTCATTTTTTCCAGCTGTGCCTTCGGATAGAAGATTAAAAAAAGAAGGCGGCTTGCTTAAAGCTTGGTCTACCAAAAAGACCTCCATCTACATATCGCATATAGTTTCTCCTACACAGTTTGCTTAAATCTATTAAAATATCACCACGTTTCAGTGGGTTGGTGGCATATTGGTAGAATGCTCGCCAATCACGCATGTGGTCCGCGGTTCGATCCCCGGCCAATTTACTCCTTTACCTCAGTAGTCTAGTAATAAGACTGGTAAAGAGGGAAGGTTAAGTATGCGGCTAGCAACACCATACCGTAAAAGTAAACGCTACTGCTGCTGAAACTTTAAAGCTCTATTTTGAAGGCCTATGTTCCACTGGGAATGTAAAGGAACAAAAAAACCACACTTCAGAAAGTCACACATAAAAGTAGAGCAAAGAAATGCAATAAAACTATAATAAAACGAAATCTGTGGGAGAAAGAACAATTAATTGAAGAATAATACGGATTCAATGAATCCAGAAGAATGCAAAGAGTGAGTACATCCTCATCATTGAGAATAATCCTTAGCCATGAGAAACCAAAAGTCTTCAGCGGTTAGTGGTTCTCAGTGCTCCAATGATTCCAGTGAGGCAGTCCACACATCCACTTTTTTTCTTCCTTCACGTTCCCCAGTGGAACATAGGGCTTCAAGCTAGTCGCTTGAAGTTTCTGTAGCAGTGTTTATTTTACAGGATGGGGTTGCTAGCCTCACGCCCAACCTTCCCTCTTTACCAGCATTATTTATGGCTTAGGGAGGTAAAGAAGTGCGTCGGCCGGGGATCGAACCCCGGACCATGTGCATGGTCGGCGAGCGTCCTAACTGCTATGCCACTGAATTACACCTACACGTCCATACGTAGCTCAAACCAACAGTTGTCAGGTGACAACTAAAAGTTTTTCAACCTAATTCTTTATTAGCCAATACTGCTCACCAAGTAGGGTGATGAATTAGCATGCATGTTACGACTTCAAAAACTCATTGATCGGCTTTCACTCTTTATCTAGCAACTAACTAACTTCATAATTACGTACCATATAATATCACCTAATACTGAGAAGATGAATGCAGACACCACTGGTCAAAGACAAGCAGCCTCTTTATATCTTCTATTTCCAACGTCAGTGTATTAGTCGTATAGAAAGACGCAGTGAATTACAACATAGCTGCTGGGTAGTAGTAGTACTAGTAGTAGTAGTATCATCTTAATTATGACCAAATCTACTTTCCTTGTACGAAAAACATTTCGATTAAAACGAACTAAAATTTCAATGCAGTTACGACTATTCCATACACATAAACTATGCTTTTTTCTGAAAGACTATTCTACATTCATGTTTCGGTTTTGTTGAGACTTAGCAGTAATACATATCTAAGGTTTAATGCAGAACTCAAAATGTTACTCAGCATGCAAATGAAAACGTTTTCAGTAAAACTGTTCACGCCAAAATTGATCTCTTGAGCAACTGTAATATATGTGCATGAACTGTTTGCAGACTGATTTTACCGTGCATTATTCATAAACCAGTGGATCGGTTTACACATAAATGACTAAAAAGTTACATTACTGTCAGTGATCAACAGTGAAAAAGTAATACTGATTAATTCAGAAAAGAAAGGAAAGACACTATTTTAAAATTCCATCATTTTTTAAGCTAGTCAAGCAAAACATTTTCTCGTGCATGA